CAGTGCTGTTTTTCATCTCTCTGCAAGCTCCCCGTGCTCCATCATACCAAGTGATGTATCTTCCCTTTCAGCTCCTTCTGTGTTCTTCACTGACTGATGCTCTCTCACACATTTTGACTCACAGCTTCTGGTCAACAAAATCCATCAAAGGAACTCACCCAGCTTGCATCAATGTAGTTCAAACATGGTTAATGTTCAACAATATTTCCCAAACATAGTAAAGATATCTATCCAGCAGCTGATGGGCAGGCATTAAATGAATGTAAGCACAGTGTGCTCTTAAGCCTGTCTACCTGCTGCCCATATGCTGACTTGCAGACAGCCAGGAGCTGCCTGTGTAGGTGCTGTGGGAGCTGTGCATGAGAGCAGAGGGGGAGACAAATTAGATGAGCCATTAACAACAGTTTCTGCAGGACGGGATTGGCAGGGTGGTGGCAAAGAAACATATGTTAAGTGTTGCTGTTCTGTTATGTGCTTAGTGTGGTTGTCACTAAGATCTGTTTTACATGTATTATAATTTTTCTAAGATACCAATGAGCAATAAAATCCAACATCTTTGTTGTCACTGAATTCAAATGCACAGTAACCCCACCCACCACCCGAAAACATCTCATTCTCCATTGAAAAGTGTTTCTTTAAGAGCTCAGTGGTTTAAAACCAAAAAGCCTTCCCTAAAATTGAGAGGTTATAATTAATTCCTGCCATTAATAGGTGAAATTTTCAGTTTGTGTGGATAAGTGTAAGAAGACAAAATTCAGGTTTTGTCTATTTGAGTACTTTGTACTTCAAAGCTGTTGTTGTTGAGAGAGATGAGCACAGAGAGTGCAGATAATTAATGCACGTTTTGTAAATCTGAATGCAACTGTAGGTGTATTGAAGCCTACAATGTCATCCCCATCTCATCTGTTCAGTGCATGTTTAAACTGGGCAAACTCCTTTCTGACTTACACTTGGATCTTTGAGACTTGCAGATGATGTGAATCGCAGGAGAATGCAATCGTTAATTTTATAAACCTTTAGTTTTATTAGACTGGTAACACCCACAAGCATATTTCTATCAATAGAAAAAAAAAGTGCAGATAGGGCAGCGGTAGGGCAAACTTCCTGCAGTGTTTTGCAGTGTGGAATCAGGGAAAATTTTCCAAGTCAGAGGGTGAGTCAGCATCCATAGCCCCATTTGCAGTAATGATTGAAGTCTTTGCTAAACATGAAAATAATGAAACGATCCTTATCCTATCAAGCCATGTTCAATGTAATGTTTACTAAAATAGGTAATTTTCTCTTCTGTTTAAGATTAGTCCCTGGTGTATGCTTCCAAAATGCCAACCATGTGGCTCTCTGTTAGGCACTGTGACTGGAAGTTGATTGTTTTCCTTTGGAACAGTATATTGGTTGCCCAGCCTTTACAGAGATGATGTCACTGATGTCCACATGTGTGTATGTCTGAATTGCCACACTGGATCAAATCAGATTGGATGACTAAAAGACATGGAACAGTTTCTAAAACATGTTCATTTTACAGAGGCTAAATGATGGAAATCCTTGACTGGGATGTATTCCATTGCTTGCCCTTGAATGATCTGCTCTGTCGTGGTACTGACAAATGTGGCAATTTCTGAAGTGATGTGGAGCTCAAACACACTCAAATGCTGTTCCATAGCAATAAGCATCTCTGATGGGCTCTATATGGAAAGCAGGTAGCTATACCGCATCAAGCTGAAATGTATGAATAATTGGGCAGCAGATTGGTTTTTTTGGAGTATGGCCAGAACTCCATACTTCCTGTGAAATACTTAATAATGGCAAGTAGTTAATTATTTTTCTGCAGGGTTAAATGGCAACTCCAACCACACAATACCCTAGAGCACTGCACTTCTACGCAAGGTTAGTTATAATTGGAAGAGGAAGATATTTACTAATTGATTATGCAAATCACTCAGCAGCACAGCCCACCTGTAATGCAACATGGTTTGGTTTTTTTTGCAGTTACACACTGTATTGTGTGCAGCCACCAATCTTAAGAAACTACAGTTTCTTCCATTATTTCCTATCTGTGGCTTTAGAATTGGATGACTTGAGAGCAATCCAAAAACCCAACTGACCAAACAAAAAAAAAAAAAAAGAAAAAAGGAAAAAGGGAGCTTCTTTACATCCCTTCTAGTTGTGAACCTGCCTAACACTGCACTTTACAGCTTTTCACTGTGAATGACAAATAGGAATACACTATTTTCATGAATGAAAGAAGGTATCTTCACGTAATCACTGGATCTCCATTCCTCTGGATTTAACAAAATATAAACTATTATGAAAATAAAACATTAAGAATTGGGGGGGGGGTTATTTGTCTGCCTCTTTCCAGAGTGAGACTGAAACTTTTGCTGAAGAAACTTTCCTCTGATTCTGTGTGCATCATACAAATTCTCAGTCTACTTCTGGCAGGTGTAATAGAAACATATCTTAAAATTGTCATGATTTGCAGGCGTAATCCCAAGTGGCCTGCCTGATTGTTGTATTTGGAATTATTGATTTGGAGGAAACCTTATGCTTAATAGTTTCTGATTCATTTCATTGTGCATACATGAAAATGCATTTTAGTGCATTTAGATATTATGGAGGCATAATGAAAAATGAATTGCTTGCCAGCAAATAAAGAGCAGGGGTTTGTCTGTGGAGCTGAAGATGCTGCTGGAGAGAGAAGAAGGAAAGGAGAGAGAGGGAGAGCAGGAAATCTAAAAATGTAGCATATTTGAAGTAAATTTCTTTTACAAACTGTCATTTAGTATTCCTCCAAGACTTCTGCATTAGGTAAGGCCTGCTCAAGAGAGCCCTGCCTTAATGGTTCTGTCTTTCAAAATGACCTCCTTCTTCTGCATCTAAACGTGTTCCAGCATTATCACCAAACCTCTGCATTCAGTGAAGCTTTGAAGCCTTTTTTGGACTCCTTGTGGAATAGGGTCCACCTCATTATTCTAGTGTTTCAGTTCTCCACGTTGTTGTCTTGGATCAGTCTTCCCTTTCAGTGAAGAATCATACTCAACTTTTGAGTTGGAAGGGACCCCTAAAGGCCACCTCCCTGCAGTGAACAGGGAGCTGTGAACTGGCTCTGTGCTGACTGCCATTTCATTATTTTGTCAAACTCCTTGCTGTTACTGACTACCAAAAGGAACAGCACAGCAAATTCACTCAGGGTTTGTTTATTTCCTCGTTTCAAGGAAATTTTGAGCTCATCTCTGTATTTGCAACACCCGTTTCCATGGTACGTTGAAAAGAGTTGTCATTCAAATCTCCTGATGCTTTTCTATCTTAAAATGACATCTGTAAGTACCGGTGCAGTGAGGCAAAGATAATTCAGGGGAGATGCACAGGATCCCAGAGTAGATCTGTGGCAGAGCTGTGAACAGAAGTACCCCTTACCTTCTCCCCCTGTGGGATGCAACCGGTGCCCATGTCAGTACCCAATTACAAACAAGCAAGTGTCTGAGCTGCACGGTCATTACCTTCCCAACAGTTTGCCCAGCTTGAGTAAATGAAGAGCTGCTCAAGAAATATTAAGTATAGAATTATAATGAGCCTTATTCCTCACAGCTGTATTATGACCCTCTCACAGTCTCTGTTATTGCACTTTCACCTAAACATCTTGTTGCTGATCTGAATCTTGACTTACAGAGTTATTACGTTAATGGGGAGAAATGCTTCACTTATAATCATGCTTTATATTTCTTTTGGTTTATTCTGGCATTTTGACTTGTCACAGTGGAATAAATTGAATTCTCTAGAATTTCTACAAAATGCCCCACTTTTGATTTTAAATGTGCTCCAGCATGATGAATGCAGCATTAGGGTGCTGGTTAGATGTAACTGGGTTTTATCCTTAGACCTCTCAGCAAATTGTGATGGTAGTCATGGACAGCTCATTTTCAGACTTCTTGTTGCTGCATGTCATATCTGTAAAATAAACGTGTGTTAACTATACAGCAGGTCTGTGCTGATCCCCCCTCAGTTACTGTTTGAACATGTCACGGAACGACTGGTGCAATCAGATACCAATTACCTGACTGCTACCTCACCTTCTCAGTAGATACAAATACTTTCCTGGGCTGTAAATCGCCTAAAAAGGAATCACTGTTTTATTGTGTTGCCTGTCACAAGGAGCCTCTGTTCCTCGATTGTAGTCAGCAGAGGTATTAATAAAATACAGCCATAAAATTAAGAACACTCTTTGAGATCTTTGAATGAAATGTGCTGAGGGCGATTACAGCTGTTTCATTTCCAAGAAAACATTATCACATATTATTATTTTATGGGCACTTTTATGCTGTGCTGTAAAAGCAGGCAGTAATTACCAGCTGATCCATCAGCTGATGGATGAAACTAAAGGACCTGTGCAAAAGCTTTCCCTCCATTAATGATGTCGAGGTAAGTGTTCCAAAACCTGCTGCAACTGAGGCAGGGCATGCTTTTCTTTAGAGTGTGCTTGATAATGAATAGTGGCTTAATAATAATAAAGATAACTCTAATTCAGAATTAATATCTGAAGTAAGTTCAACAACTGATAAGAAGAGTCTGTTGTATATGCATTAAACCTGGTGCATTGTATCTGATGCATCTCTGTGTATTAGGCAGTTAGTGACTTTTTCCATCAGGTCTAAAAATGTATTTGTTTGGAAAGTAGTTTAACATCTTTTGAATGTTTGAGAATGAAGTCTAGCTGATCTAAGGGCAGAAACATGGAAAACATGCTGGAAAAGCTGCAGATGTGGTTTTACAGTATGACAGAAAGATTAATGGATTCCAGATTTCATCTGTGGGAGTACCCCCACATCTCATTTTAATGAATTAGATCTGAAAGGAGTGTATTAGGAAGCTAGGTTCCCATATTTTCTCAGGAAGTGGAAGAAAGGGAGGCAATGAGGCCACGCTTCTATCTAGCTGCTAATAGGAAAAGAAGCATTTGTTTGAACATTTATTACAGCGTTTGAAAAAAAAAAAATGTTTTTCAGATAATCGCCTTTGATGAGCTACGGACGGACTTCAAAAGCCCAATAGATCAGTGCAACCCAGCCCACGCAGTGAGTACAACCAGTGGTGTGCTAAGCAACAGCTACTAAACAGGAGGAGATACACGGAGCCATACGTCAAAGTATGAGTGTGGAGGGGAACACAGGGCCTGTTGTGAAGTCAGTTCTAGTTTGGTGAATTGATGTGTTGGACTAGACTTGGGAAACCAGATGGTGGTTCTTTATCCTGATAGCTTTCCTATTTGCTGAAAGAGGTAGGAAAATAATTTGGAAATTTGAAACCTAAAAGACACCTAATGTGATGCTAAAACTTTCTTTTGATTCTGTGGCACCGTTTTTCCTTTTTAAAAAACATTTGCTTTCTCTGCTTTCCAGCATGGCTTGATGACCTTTTCCAATACTGTCTGTAAAAATCAGTCAAAATCTTTGAGGGCGTTTGATAAGAAGTGCATTTCCTGGATGTGTTTGTCCCAGAGCAGGACTGTTCTCCTGTGCTTGAAGAGTAAATAACACATTCTGTTGTATTTGTTATGTGAAAGTTTAAATGTCACCATGAGACTGTAAACTCAGTTTTACCTAATGATCCAAAACGCAACCCAGATTGTAGCAGCAGCAGAAAGCTTTTTTTTTTTCCTGTGAAAACTGTAATCCAAAGTGATTTAGCTGATTCCAATTAAGCATGCCTCAGATTTGTATCACCATAACTGACAGCAGAACTTGCCCCCATAAAGTCACTGGGAATTGCTAGAGATGCTGGTTTTGCAGAAGTTAAATTCTAATATCACGTGTTGCTCAGGTACTCTATTAGGGAAAGCAGAAGAGCTACCATGTGAGCTTTGCATTTGTTTTACTCATTCAGAAATGTCTTGAGGCCAAAATCGAGTACCTGAAAATGCAAGGCCAGGTCTCTGTAGTGTAGATTGGCACCAAAGGTTAGAATCACAAACACTGACTTGAGCTTCTGACTCACAGACTTGAAACCCCTGTTTTTATTGCTACACTCAGTAACAGATGAAAAAAATAACATTGGGACTTGGAAATGAGCAGATTGTTTGACTTGCAGGCAGTACATCAGAAGTGAATACAGTTGGTTCAGATGAATAATGTTACATCTCTACAGCCAGTAATTATGATTTTGACTCACTATACTGGTAATATCTTTAATTTATAGCACCAGCTAATCTTCCACCTCTTTCCCTACTTTTCCTTAACAGAGAGAGCGGCTGAGAAATATTGAACGTATTTGCTTCCTCCTGCGAAAGGTGAGCATAAACTAGCCCAAGATTTATTAATTGGATGAGAATTAAAGCCACTGAGTGATAATCTGCCTTCATTTTCTTTTTTTAATGATCCTCACTCTCTACTGAAAGGCTGAGTTCTACAGAAGTAAAATTCATGATGACCTTGTAAGAATAGATGGAGACAAATTACATAAAGTTAACATAAGTAGAGGATTTCTGGATAAGAAGTTTCAGAACATCTGCCCATTCATTTTGGAATGTGCTTTTGGAAGGTAGTGGATCATTTTGCAGTTGCAGCTTGAGATGTTAATAGTGCTATCATCTGATCATAGTGTTGTAATACAGTTTTTGATTAGGGCTTGCTGTTTGATGAATTAAACATTTTATTAGCTATATATTTAATAATTAAGTTTTTGAATTGATTGAATAGAAAAGTTGATACGGCATTTATTTTAACTCAGCCAAGCAGATACTGATGCCTCAGTTTCTGAGGAAACTGAATGAGTTCATAAACTGTAGGATTGATATGGTCATAGGTTGCACCTTTCCTCTGTAACTTGAAAGAGTCTTTCATAAATATTCGTTGTTCTCCTGACTCTGTACTAATAAACTCAAAATAATCATTGTTCCTAAACACTTTACTCCCTATATTCAAGTTTCTATAAATTCACCGAGATAGTAATGGAGCCACTTAAATTATTCAGTATTTTTGCTTAAAAATGATAACACTTGAAATATGGACCACTGACTGCATCCCCAAATCAAAGTAAGAATTAAATTGAGGAGTTTTTTTTAATAAGCTGATGGCCTCATCCTTAGAGGTATGGGGAAAACCAGTGCTAAGGTTTATTTGCTTGGGATGATCCAGAGATCTAACTATGACCACACTCAATCTATGAATTGTCATTCTCAGGTCAGAGAGAACTTGAGTCATTCCTGCTTGTCACGTTTATGAGCATGTGGTTTATAAGAGCCACACTCAAGTATTTACTTAGCAAGGGTAAGGCAGTAGGGCTGTGACAAGAAGAAACAATACTTACCACCAGTAGCTTTCCATTTTTGTCAAATTGGCACCAAGCCATTTTCAAGTTCTGTCCCAGTTTAAGAAAAATAAAACATAAAGACATAAAGCAACTGGTGAGTGATAATGTATTAATATATATGTAAGCCCCATAAGAGTGCTTGGTCTTCATGAGTGTTTAATTTTTATTGAGCCTCAGTCTTCATGTGAGCAGCAAGATTGAGCATTTTGGCTAATTGCAGACTCTGTATTCATAGGGGATTGGCTTGCTTCTGCTTCACTTAAACATTTTGTTAATTCAACCTATTCAGAGTTCTTTAGGGATGCACTTGTTTTAATTGAGAGATGATATGCAAGAAGAAGGTGGACTAACTACAGAGTCGTTAAAACTGAGTCACTAAAAATAGCTTTAGTCTGTGTAGCAGAAAGGATTCACGGCTGGAGAAAAATTCTGGCAAAAACAGTGAAGTATCAGTTGTATAGATACAGGAAAACAGCAGTGAGAATGCTATCAGCAAGCACTAAATATATCCATCATTATGACTTTGTGAGGCTGTAGGTCTGTTTCTCCTTCTACGAAGCAGCAACATATCCATTTCCCAGTGTCATTAAGTCAGAAAATTATTTCAAATTGCTTTGAATATAGTGCCATATTACTATTTATGACATTAGAACTTAATGACAAAGAACTATTGTAAATCTGTTTTCAAGAGATTATAGGCAGAGTGTAAAACTGTTGTTTCATTGTAGCCTGTTTTTTGGAAATGATTGAGTAGGCATATAGTATGCTATATGAATGGTTCTAATGAGCAGAATGTTTTTAAGGATGGATTTTCAGTTTAATCTCCAGAATACTTGGAGAAGATTATTAACAAACCAGGTACATGATATGTCATCAGATGTTATAATTTAGCTGTACATTCCAAAATGGTATGAAGGATGGAATCCTTCAGCAGCCAGACATTTTCAGACATTTGCTTTGGGGAAAATGTTTTTATATCACAGCAAAAACTTAGGGAGCATGTGAAGAAGGTTTATATGGTGCTGGCATGTATACACACATGTAGAGATGCGTCCATGCTTTTATGGTGCTAGAGAGCTAGAATTAGGTCTGTCCATGTTTCCCAGTCACTGGAGAAAGATTTTGTGTGAAAAAGCTATGAACCTCACAGAGCCATGGTTACATCTCTTCTGTTCCAAAGTGTGGGATAGGAAGGACTTCCTTTCTGAAGCCAGCACAAAGTGAGGAGGATGCAGATACCTCATTTAATTCAATTATGTGTTTGGAAGGCTTTAACTATTGATTTGTGTTGATGAGATTGTGTGATGTAAATTGTAGAATATTTAATTGTCCAGACATTGTTGTGTCATGCAAGTGTTACGTTGTTCACACAGGATATATATTGGTATTGCTGAATGCTGTGAATTCTCTATCTATGTTTTTCTTTTTTTCTCTTTTTTAAATAAATTGCCTTTGCTTCTCCAAGGATATGATTACATGATGCATTACAATGCTGTGTAGAGATGCACCAACTAGTTGTGAATGGTCTTTGTTGGCTTAGTGGAAGTAGTACCATTAGCAGTACAAAATCATACAGTTCTTCAAGTTGGAAAATACATTCAAAATCATTGAGTATAACTATCAATACAGGATTTTTGGGTTCATTAGTGCTGCTAATGAGATAATGGGGGCATGCCATATAACTACACCATGATTTTTGTGATTAAATCATTGAATAATAGAATGATTTGGGTTAGAAGAAACCTCAAAGATCATTTAGTTCTGTTCCCCCTGCTGCAGGCATGGCTGGCAGCCACTTGATCTAGTACTACCTCAGATTGTCCAGGGCCCCATCCGACCTGGCCTTGAATAAGTCCAGGGCTGGGGCATCCACAACCTCTCTGGGCAGCCTGTGCCAGCATCTCACCACCCCTTCCATGAAAAACTTCTCCCTGACAGCAAATCTAAATCTCCCTTCCTTCAGTATAAAACCATTCCAGTATTTTGTGAGGTTATTAAAACATATTTGATTAATGAAGGCAGCATTATTGTATAATTATAATTGCAGGTGTATTTCAAATGATCTAACTACATGGTTGATTTCTCTTGTAATTACTTATTTTAGCTCTAAGGACAATTATTTCCTACATTAGAACATGGTCTCTTTCATTAATCAACTGTTGTAAAGTCATTGCTTTACCTTTAGGGAAATTTAAATTAACTTGTGATTAGGGTTATACTTATAAGCAACAGCATCTTAATATTTGATTTAAGCAGATAAATCTTTACTAATGAGTAGAGTTGATTAAGCTTGCTTTATTCTCAGTGAATGTATTTCAGACTTGAGTTTGCTCGTGCCAGACACTGCTGAACAGTGTAAATGACCTTCCTCAAATTTTTAGCCAGTATTTGTTTTTAAACCCCATTAATCTGAAGAGTGATTTCTGAATGATGAAACTGGCAATACTTGTGAGGGAAATTAGGTATAAGACTTTTATTCATTTTCCTGCTACAGTGGAAGCATTTTAGCTAAGTTAAATTAAGCATGAAATCCATGAAACTGCAAACACAGATTTTATAGAGCTCAGTCCTTTATCTTCATTTTATTTGGTTTGATTTTGTTTGTTTGTTTGATTGCTTATTTTGGCAAGGGGTGATTGGACAGCAAATTCAGCAAGAAATCTAACTGCAGAAATCTTTGGAGCGTGCCCAAGTTGGTGAAGTGTCTGGAGCACAAGTCTGATGGGGTTTAATTGAGGGAACTGGGATTGTTAAAACTGGAGAAGAGAAGGCTCAGGAGGGACCGTATTGCTCTCTACAGCTGCCTGAAAAGAGGTGGTGATGAGGTGGAGACCAGGATCTTCACCTAGGTAACAGTGATAGGACCAGAGGAAATGACCTCAAGTTGCACCTGAGGAGGTTCAGGCTGGGTATTAGGAAAATTTCTTCTCAGAAAGAGTGGTGATGCATTGGCGCAGGCTGCCGAGGAGGTGGGGGGTCACCCTGCAGGTGTTCAAGAACTGTGGAGATGTGGCACAGAGGAAAAGGTAGAGATGAAACTGAAAGGCGTGGTAGAGATGGGTTGGTGGTTGGACTTGATGATCTTAGTGTATTTTCCAACCTTAATGATTCTATGATTTGTTTGTTATTATACTGATGACTTCTTCCATTGTTCTGCCTCATGGCCACTGACAAGTTGGGGATAATGTGTTATATTTATAGCATGCATTTCTGGATGTATCAGTTCATTGCTTCATCACGGATTTAAGGATTTATAGATATTTGACATTCTTCTAGCTAGTTGTCAGGCTGATAGTTATTAGCAGGGTATGTCTCTAAGCCTATTGCACGGTTCATTAAAGTGCTTAATGTAAGGCTATATAAGTCAATTTAGCAATTTTGGTGGAATTTTTTTTAAGTGATGTGTAACCATCTGTGTATAAGAAGAATCATACTTTCTACAGATTTGAAAAATTGCACTGGCTGAGACTACAGCAGTAGGCCAATTTGATGCAAAATAAATGTGTTGCAAACAGGAGCAACTTTGCCTTTTATTGTACTGTATACTACTTAAAACTTCAGCAAAGATGTGTTCATTTCTCAGTTAGCTAGATTTGAAAGAAAAAAAAAATCATGAAAAGCAGTTCATCACAGCCACGTTAGAGAGTTAAGTCACTTCAACCAAAGATACTTGCACTGTCTTTGCAGGGCTGATTCACACCAGGTTGTGGCATTATGCGTATGCAGCACCTCCTATCCAGCAGTGAGCATGTCATCTTTCAAGTCCGTGTGCTTGTGCTGAGAGGAAAACAGAATTATCTAGTCACAAGGTATTTTTGGAATGTGGAAATAGCAGTGGCATGCTGCTCACAGGACAAAAAGGCCTGTCTGTCCAGAGTTCTGATAAATTGCTGCTGTAACAAAGATCACAAAGGGAACAGAAAATGGCACCATGTGACACTTTCTCCATTAACAGTGAAGGTTGCAGTGATGGAGCAC